ATTTTTTTTTGTTTTATTATACTATTTTAATTTTTATAATTTTATTATTATTAAAATTTTTGTATTATTATTATTTTTTTATTGTGATTATTTTTTTATTATGATTATTTTTTTATTATGATTATTTTTTTATTAAATATTTTTATTATTATTATTATTTTTTATTAATATTATTTTTTATTATTATTATTATTTTTTTATTATTATTATTATAATTTTTTTATTATTATTATTATAATTTTTTTTATATTATTATTAAATTTTTATTTACATTATTTTTTGCATATTAAAATTGTTTCATAAGTATTTATTGTGTTATGAAATATTTTATAAACATTGTTTCTCTTTGCCATAATATTTATTTAATTTCTTCCAAATTTTTCAGATATTATTTTTGTATTACATTTTGTGCTTAATTATTTATTTTTTTAATTAGTAATTGTATTTTTTATATACTATTAATTTTTTTATATAATATAAATTTTTTAATATAATATTAAATTTTATTTTTATATAATATTAATTTTTTTATATAATACTAATTTTTTTATATTAATAATATATATTTTTTATATAATTGTATCAATTTTTTTTATATTATTAATATATTTTTTGTTTATTTATTAATTTGTTTTTATTATTTATATGAAATGTTTATTAATTTTTTGCTATAATATTTATTAATTGTCTTCCAAACTTCTATTTTCAACTTTTGTAAATTTTATTCAATTATATTCTTTCCTAAATAATATTTTATTAAATTATTTATATTTTTAATTATTTACATCTTTTGCTTTTTCAATTGCAAACATGGTGCGAAGGCATTTTAAACGCTCCTTACGGCCATTTAGAAACAAGAAGCAAAAAGCAATTCGAAGGAAAAATGGCATTTGTAAGAGACAAAAAATCGTGGACTTCGCTTTAGTTGCAAATGTTTTGTCCGATACTGTATGTACATATATTTTTATTGCTGAATTAATTTGTTTTTGTTTTTTTTTATGGTTCATTTTATTATTATTTGGTATTTTATAATTCTATCATATTTTCGTTTCATTTATTTTTTATATATTTTTTTATTGATGTTTATCTTTTTTACCTTTATATGATTAAATTTGTTTTATTATGTCTCCTTTATTATGATTATTATTATTTAATATTACTCATCCAAACATTAGTTTATATTTTTCTAGCATTATTTTTCTTTTGAATACATATTTTCTGTAAATTATTTACTCAATTTATTGTTAAATAAATATTTTTAGAAAGAAAAGTTTTGTTTTAAAACGTTTTTTTATTAAAAAAACTAGTATTTTTTTTATAACTTTTTTTTTTCCTTTCAAATATTCAAATATCATCCATATTTGGTTGTAAATTAATATTTTACTTAGATATGTACATATGTATATAAAATTAATTGATTTGCGTAATAACATAAGTACATATATTATACTTGTTCCAAAATAATATTTTCATAATTATAAATTTTTTTATAATAATTAAATTATTTTATAGTTATAGTAGTATTCTTGCATAATTATTTTTATTTTGTTGCATAACAATTGTTTAAATATCTCATAATATTTGTTAGCCTTTGGAGGGTTAAACATAAAACAACAGCTCTTTCGTCATTAGCGCGCCTACCTAACTGATTCACTATCTACTCACCTTTATATTGAAGTACATGTATATGTATGTACATACGCTAGATTTTACGTCAGTTCATTCATATATGTAGATTTGTTATCTAACAATCGGTTTACAACGTAAACCGGCATACAAATGATGGTGATGGATTTGATGCATTCACCGATCTACAAACATACATACATACATTCATACAAATACATAAGAGTATACACAATTCCATATATTTATATTCGAAGATAAATCACTCTTTATAAATACTTGTACCAGAAGCTATGTATGTATAGTAAGTCATATGGCAGCTGGCCAAATGTGGCTAATGTATGCACGTGAATATACTTGTATGTATACGAACTGTATAAGACATCCATGCACACACACACTCATACATACATACATATGTATAGAGATGTATGCTATCAGCAGCAGCACTTCATCATTGATTAGCTGACGCGCGCACAAACGAGCCCCCAAATCTATCGAATGAGCGTTAAGAGTTCATCGCTGACTGCCAGTATTGCCGCTGCTTCTCCACTGCCGTCGTCATTACTCTGCTGCATTGTGATGGTGGTTGTTGTCTCTTGGCGAAGAAGTTTGGAATCACGAGTTGGTACTCTTATATACTTACATATATACTATATGTATATTTGTATGCATATTGGTGCAAATGTTGTACGCGGAGCACAAGCAATAGATTACCACTGAGCGCTGGCGAGAGCACCTCTTTCTATGAACTTGAATGTCGAGGCTGGTGAGACAGCTTAGCAAGGCGCTCACGTGGGTTTCTTGCTGACTAATTTATACACATTTGTGTGATTTTATTACAACAGAGCAGCAAAACGAAGTAAAAGCAAATTTCTCAAATTTCTTTATATTCATACATACGTTTGTATGTTTGTATCGGTGATTTGATTTATTTGCAAAATGAGTTGTTCGAGTTCATCTTAAAATGGTTGTGAAATTGCGCGTTGACAGCAATGAAGTTCAACTAGTAAAAATCGACGACGCAGCGCTACGAAGTGGAACTAGTTAATTATTTAAGTATTTTAGAATTAAAAAAATATACATTTATAACGGAAATGTATTCATGCTCATATGGACATATATTTACTTTGTAATTACAATTAATTATTACCTTCAATATGCGGAATTATGACTAAATCAGCTCCACTTTTTTGTTGGGAATTCGTCGTTACGTTTAATTAATGAAAATTGATAGCTCACGGAGAGGTGTGAATTAATGTTTGTTAGAAAAAGTGTGAAGACGGACTTCAAAGCGAATAGCAACATTTTCTGTTTATATTTTTTTTTTTAGTAGGTAACACCTTTCGTTAAATTTTCTCAAAAAAATTAAATGAAAATAATTAAACAAAATAAAATTAAATACATAAAAGCATTAAAAAAGAAATAAATACAAATTTTAAATTAAATAATAAATAAAAATTAAATAAAATAAAAATAAAAAATTAATTTCAATTAAATAATAACTGAACTCAATATATAAATATATAATATATTTAATTTTATTTTCAAAAAAGGAGATAATAATAAAAAAAAGAAAATTAAATAAATAATAATTTTAAATTAATTTAATAAAAAAAAAAATAAATAAATATAATAAAACAAAATACATAAAATTAATGAAAAAAATTTTAAAATACAAAAAAAAAAATGAAATAAAAAAAAAATTATTTAATTTTTATATTTGTGTTATTAATCAAATATATAATATAAGAAACCTTATTTTTTAAAAAGTAAATTGAATTAAATAAATTAATTCACAAATAAAAAAGTTTTCTATACAAGAACTTAATTTTGATCCTTCAGTTTGTATGGCAGCAGTAAGCTATAGTGGTCCGATATTGGCAGTTTCGACAAATGAGCAGCAGGATAATTTATTTAGAAAAAAAAAATTTAGAAGAAAACTGTTCATTTACATATAGAATTAATGTAAATTTACATTACAATTTAGAATAAAAAATTAAGAAAATTTTAAATATATTTTTATTTCTCATAAAAATTTTATTTTATAGGCAAATTTTCAAAATTGAGTTGCAAAACGAAAATGTCAGTTTTTTGAACACACTCGCCTTGTAACTGTTTTAGTAACGTTACTTTTTCTAACAATGAGTACTTCCAGCGCCTAAAACTGTGCTATTGCTAATTTTTGAAGCTGATTTTTGAAGTGATCGTATGCTATGAAACTGAGCTTTCTTCTCATTGACCGCATATATTTACTTATTTAAGCAGCATTTACTAATTTGTTACTTTTTTTTTTAAGTTTTAATATTTTTTTAAAATTTACTTATAAATAATTACAAACGATATGATTCCTTATAAATCAAAGTGATAGTCTACATCGTTTTTCGTAGCCTCCTGTCGATTTAAACGCGTATTTTAAACATTAAATATCTCAAAAAATTGGCATACGACCATACGCACGATTTCAAACCTCCTAGAAATTTGAAACCAAAAGAAAAAAATATAAATATAAAGTTGGAAAACATTTTTTTTACGAAATGGCGACTGCTCGAAAAATATTGTAATTTTTGCAACACTTTTTTAAACTGTTCGCATTTTTTAAAATTAAAAATAGTAAAAATTGAAATTTCGGGATAGACATACATACATAAGTCTATAAAAAAGTCTCTCTAAAAATTTCATGTAAATCATTGCAGTAGAACCTGAGAAATCGTGGGTATCGTTTTCACAGTTTAAAGAAAAGCGCGTTTAAAGAAAATAATTTGAATTTTGAAAAATCCTCGTGTAGACATATTCATATTCTTGAATAATAAAACTTTAAAAATATACACAAAACAAAATATATATATATATCTACTTCAAGACTAGAATACCCACTTAAACCAGTATTTTTCCATAGATAGCGTCTTTAAGCAACTTAAAGTTTGTGCGCCTAAAAGCATGCTACATATATTTTTCAAAATCTCATTTAGTGTTGTAATCATAATTTTTTTCATTCGATTTTAGCGTTAATATAAATTTACTATTTTTCTGTTGATATTTACGAGCTATAAGCTAGAGGCTGCTCTTTTGAACTACTAAAATATGCATACTTTCCGTCCTATTAAATTAGATTATTTTATAATTATTATTATTTTAATTTTTTTATAAAATATTTCACTATTTTTAGATCGAAGCATCCTTTAAATAAAAATTGCACGAGCATAAATTTCGCTCCCCTCTACGGTACATTTTTAACAATACTCAACGTCATAAGCTGATTATGTTTATGCAGCAGAGAGCATATTTATATGCATTCATACATACATACATATATATATATATATATATATATTTCATGTATATATATACATACATACAATCATACAAACATAGAAAGAATTATATAGAACACTTCGTCTTTGGGAGTACTAGGTAGGGACGAGTTGGCCAAATCGCAGTCGCCGCTGAGGTTTCGCAGCAAATAAGAGCAGCTGTTTGCGCGACTGAGCATGAGCATGAGCCAACAATAGCAACAAACATAGAATTTGTGGAGAAAAGTGCAAACACATAAAAGCATACCTACTTGTTTGTACATATGTATACATATATTACATACATATATATGTACATACATACATATATGCTTGTACACATAGAAATGACTGAAGGCGACTAGAAAAAAAATTGGTGAGCAAATTGTGAAAGGCAGAGGCATTACAACAAACGAGGCAATGTGGTGAGTGTGCGCGCCCCTCTGCATACACAAACCAACATGTATATTTACATATTTACACACAACTAGTATAGTTTCTTATATGAAAAGTATGTATTTATGTACTTAAATATTTTGTATTTGTGGATATGTGTGTGTTACACATCGCCGCCGACAGTCGGCCCACGTTGTATTTCTTCGGTAGATACAAGAGCGCCAAGAGTTCACCCGGCCGTTCAGTAGTTCGTGAGAAGCCAACGTGACCGTTTGTCATCCAACGCAGCAAAGCAGCCAAAAATCTACAAGTAAGGAGTGCAATTGTTGTAGCGTGTGCTAAGCAAAAATAAAAAAAATTATAATTTTTTTCAAGAGAAAAAACTCTAAGCAACAAGCTCAAGTGCTAAACGAAATTAACAAACGAAATTCAATTACTGAAACTAAAATTACATAAAACTTTAGCGACGAAAATTTCATAAATTTGTTGTAACGTGTGTGCGCGTTGAGCAGTTCGCAGCAAATCGGCGGAAAAAAAATCAAGCAAAGCGAAAAGTCTAATAGAAATTAGGAAAATATCTCTACACACTTTTGCTTGAACTTTGTTGCTTCGCCCCCTTCGCACGGAGGTTGCAGGAAAAGCAAGTAAAAACTAAAAGACGCACAAAAGACATTGAGAAAAAAAATTGTTTGAAAAAAAAAAATTCAAAAAAAGTATTAAAAAAATAATTTAAAAAATATATACAATAACAAAAAAACAAACGCACGCTTGTCAAATTCAAAAGAAAACCGTTTTCTTCCCCCCAAGTGTCGTGTGAAAAAATAATGATTAAAAGTTCTTCGTCCATTAAAAATTTGTGGTTGTCCAAAAGCGCCCATTTAAATGCATTGCTCGTTAATGGATTTGTGAGTAAGCGTGTTAAAGCGACTGCTTTGAGTTTGGTCGAGAATTTGGATGAATCGGCGAATGGCAACGGTCTTAACGGCGGCAGCGGCAAAGATAGCAAAGCGACGACAGCGTTGAAAGGCAATAGTGGCGAGAACGATACTAGCAACAACACTACCACCAATTTAACCGAGGCGAAACAACAAACATACTACAACAACACGGTGTGGTTAGATGATCGCAGCAAATATGGCCACACCGGCAAGGAGTTGCAAGAGAAAATTGCCACAGAGGTGAGTGATGAAGCGACACGACTTTTGTTGCAAAGAAGCTGCACTAGTTGCACAAGTTGCAATTAAACTTTTTAATGAATTCACAGTTTTCGTAACCATTATAACAACAACAACCAAAACATTTACATTATCCCTGCCAACCAACGCAGTCATGACTATCGATTTTCACGCGTGATATAACAGCTGAAACACCCACACAACACACCCATTAAAATAAGTTTGTATGTGTGTTTGATACGCATGCCACAATTTGCTTTATGTGCTCTCAGTTTGATTAACAAGAAGCGCGTGTTTTGTGTCAAATTTTGTTCTTCGTGCGCTCGTATTTGCGCCAAGGTGCAATAACTGAATAAACCCAATGCTAATTATCGGCAATTTGGCTATCAGTTATCGTTAAAACCGCTATGGGTTACTGCAACGCCTCCAACAAATGCTTTTAATGCTTAAGTATAATGACTAAATACAGGTTTTTGCTGTAAAAAGTTCCTAATTAGAGAAAAACGTTAGGTAAGGCCGCTTGAGCAGCATATTAAGGTGAACAAATTGTTGTTGTTGTTGTTAAAACTACCCAAATACTTCGAGGCGGATATGCTGCTATTCTACTGAACTTCTTTTTCATTTTGAAGTAAGGAATGTAGCTCTCTGTCTCACTCGGAAACCGACGATTGTAAGCTCTTCATCCGAAAAATTATTTTATAAAAATTGTACGGATCTACTGTCAATTGCAAGCCCAATGGCAGTTCAGGAGTAGTACTAGTCTACTATAACCAGCTATAAGGTCTAGTTATGTCTGCGGTCCCACTTTTTAGCGCGCATTTTTGATCTTTGATCTTATAATTGGATAACTGGGTTTTATAACGCTTCAAGCTCGTGTAGCAAATATTTCAAGTAATTTCTTCATTACAATTTTAAGAAAGTTTCGCTCGAGGTTCGTACAAATGACCAGCGAAACAGTAATCACCTAGTCTAACTTAATCTATAGAATCTTGAAGCTGTGGCATAAATTCAACTTTAAGGGTCTGGTATTTGTTACGCTCGATTGCTTTTAAAGTTATAAAAGTGCCTTGAGAGTTATGAAGGTTGTTGACACTTATATTTGATACCTTAAGTAAAGTTTACAATTTCAATAATGTTTCTAATAATTTTAAATTTAGTTCATTTCCGGCGAAACCAGGGATTCCGAAGTATTAATGACTCGACATTTTTGATAAAAAAGCCAAAACCCTTAAACTATTATATTAGAAAGATATATTTATAGCTTTATGAAAAAGCCATAATAGGCCTGATTTTTTTTTATAAATTTCATATTCTAATGTTTTTAGAATAGCTGCACGGAAGTCCTTAAAAGGCAGAATTTATGCCCACTTGAAATCTGCCAATTGTTGAACATTCTTAGGGGTTTAAATAATAGACAGCAATATTTATTTCTAGTTGTTTCACGAAATTATACCGTTATCTATAAAAAAATGGTAGTGCCAGAGACAGTTTCAATGGACAGAGAGAGCGATTAAAGAAATATACTTTTGTTCTACCGTGGAACTATCAGGGTTGATTTTATTTGGCTGAAATTTCGGAAAAGTCTTTATTGAACAAATTTTTTTTTGAAGTTGTTTAACATATTAGTTTTTTCGTAGAAAATAATAATAGTTGTTAGCTAATGAAATAGATGTCCATGTGACTGACCTGTTTTCTATTTTGAGTTTCGGTCAAATCAGCTGATCTAAATCTGAGTAGGCAATACTTTTTTCTACCGGAGTAAATATCTTTTATTTTTTTATATTACGGAAAGTCTCTTAACGCAAATTGCTTGTCTCAGCTTTTAACTCCTCTTACATTGACCTAACTGATAGCAATTAATTAGGTTTGGAATTCCTTATAATTTCACGGCGATAAATATTGTTTTGAGAATTCTTCAGGCTTCAGCAGACATTAAGTTAAGATGCCAGCTTAGATTTTAATAACAAACTTAGAGGTAAAATTTCTCTCGGTGGTATGAATTATTGCTAAAAACGATATGGAATATTTAAACCCTGAACAGGGTATAATAAGTTTGGCACGAAGTCTGTAACACCCAGAAGCAAATGTCAGCTACTCTTTAAAATATATACTTGTACATACACATATGTGTATACATAAATGATCAGCGTGACGAGCAGAGATGATTTAGCCAAGTACGTCTGTCTATCTGTCTGCCTGTGCGGCTGTCTTTATATACCCGAACTAGTTCCTCAGTTTTTGAGATATTGATCTGAAATTTTGCACACGTATTTTTCTCCCCAAGAAGCTGCTCGTTTGTCGAAACGCCAATATCGGACCATTATGGCATATAACTGCCGTACAAACTGACCAATCCAAACACAGTTCTTATATGGAAAACTTTTTTATTTGACAAGGTTTTTTCACGAAATTTTGCATAGATTATTATCCATGGTAACGCTACAATGTCCGATCGTATTGTGCACATCAGACTACTATAGTATATAACTGCCATACAAATTGTGAAGGGTATTGTATTGTAGCTTCAGTGCAGCCGAAGTTAATGTTATTCTGTTTTTTTTTTTATTTAAAAAAAGTTGACTTTATCGTGCCGAAATATCGAAATTAGCATTAAATGGAATTCATTTCCGATTAAGTGACCGATATGTATGGTATTTAATGGATGCCGGTAACCCACTATATAGTACATGTATATATGTACCTATACATGTATTTGTAGGCTTAGTTATTGCGGAAAAAATTGTATGTGCACATTGTTAATTGACATTTCTGCTGCGACAAGTATATTTGCTAAAAATGCCCAATTCACGCCTGATTACTTAGTACTACAAATTTCTCTATGTATGTTTTTTCTATACAACATATATACGAATATGTACTGCAAATTGTATGTTAATAAACAAATATTAACGTTTAGGTGTCATTTATTTTCGCTAAAAATTTCATTTTGTTGACAAAAAATATTTTTTAGCGACGTAGTTTTCTTTGCACAAGAAAAACTTGGCAATTCTTTAATACTTTGCTTGATGCTGCTGTTTATTAAAAATGTAACAAAATAAGTAAATATGTATAGTAAAAAATAATATAAAGCACATATACAATATCGATTTATGAATGAATATACGACTATATTAGTGAATCACTTTTATATATTTTATATATATATATATACAATACATATGGACATATTATGCACTTTGTTGCCAAGCCCCTTTGGGGTGTTGCTAAATATTCCAGTGGGTGTATGCATCTAATAATTCAGCTTATTTGTTCGCAAATTACAAACAATATTGCCATAGTGGCTTGGTTAGTTTTATTAAAAAGTTTATTAGATCGATAAATTTGTTTGAAGAGATTATATTTATACGAGGGAAGAAGAAATACTACACACACCTATCTATGTATTTCTTTCACCTGTATAAAGTATTACATTATGTTAATTGCTCAAATTCATGTAAATAAATTATCTAATTAATGCTAAAACAACTTAATAATTGATCGGACTGTTAAGTTGTAATTTAAATATTTCGATTAATTTTTTTACGACCCTAACATTTAGGAAACAAATCTAAGTAAAATTTAATAGTTATTAAATTTTTTGTATCATCGGTAAGCGCCTATGTAGAAGTTATCAAGTCCTTTAGTAACCTGCCGCAAACACGAGTTTATTGGTTGGTATTTAGCAATAAACAACTCACATAAATGCCAAGTTTATCAGCTAAATTTTAGTTAACTCATCTTAAACACCACTTCTTCTATTGTTTGCGGAGATATAACCGTATTTTTGTTAAAAATCAATTTTTTAAATATTTTTGTAATAAATAAAAAATTAAATAGATCAAAAAAAAATTTTCCCAACAAAATGACTTTAAACTGGAGTGTAAGTTGGCTATGGTGTGGGTAAAAAACAAACGAATTTTTTTTTCGTTTGGTACTCTAAAAATTGTTTGATAGCCACATCTAAAAAAGTCTCTTTAAATAAACGGTTTTCTATTTTGTTTTTTGCTATCTGCTAGAAAAATTCAAATTTGCTTTTAAAATAATGAAATTTCAACCGTTAATACCTTTTAAACGGTTAGGTATATGAAAAAATCGTCATATACTTTTGTTGTAGAGCATGCAATTTCCTACGAAACGCATGAAACAAAAAAGTTTTCAAATAGTTAAGGATAGGAAGCGAGATATGAATTTTTCTATCTGGTAATAAGAAAAAAATAGAAAACTGTAGAGCGGAGCACCTTCCCATTACAATTAAGAGCTCATACTTGGAGAGACTTTTTTAGTGGCGTCTATCAACCAATTTTGCAGAGTACCAAGCGAAAAATATAACATTTTTTTTCTGACTCAATCCACTGTACACTTATATTACGTAGTTAATTAATAAATTTTTTTATACTTATTATTTCAATGTAAACAAAAAGTTATTAAAAATATGCCTACAAGACTCAGCCATACCAATCTATCTAGTCATAAACTTTCCTTACGCAACTTTTTTATTCTAATATTTAATTATGCATCTTTTGATCTAATCTGAAGTGATAAAATAAAAAATTTAATATAGCGTATTGAAATACTTGATATCTTTTTATGGTCTGGGAAACTTCCGTTGCTTGCTTATTAATTGGTTTGGCTCATAGGTTTCACGCATTCTCTGCAACAGTAAAACGACACTCCTAGTTATAGTTTTGTACAAAAACAAATGTATATTTTAATTAACAATTTATATGTTTATATTTATCAGTTTTATTAAACTTTCGAAAATAATATATTTCTGAAAGGTTCAGAATTAATAATTTTCTAATCATATAATCTAAGAGTTCTAAGCCTTTTTTTTGTAAATTTTATCGTTAAATTTCAATTTTGTAAAAATTATAAAAACTTAAATAAATGGAAACAAACTTACTTGGTCGAAGCAATAAAAATAACTGCATGAAATTTTACATGACTCACCTAAAAAACAACAAAGAAGAAGCAATATTATTAAATTAGAATTAAATAAGCTA